TTATCTCCCTGGTTCTGGGGTTACAATATGGCTTTTGTAGTCATACAGCACTGAAAGATCTAAGTCACTTTGATCCCGCTTAATAGAGTTTGGTAAATGATCTCAGTATGGGAGCTCCGCCTCCTGCGAGCACACACACACACACACACACACACACACACACACACACACAAAGGCTCACTCATGCTTGTACACACATACATAAAGAATCAGACCGTCACACAGGTGAAAGCTCTTCTTCTTGCGGATCGTTGAGCCGAGCGTTCAAGCAGAAAAGTAGAAAATTTGCTTCCACTCAGAAGACTGCTCTGTGCTCACTGCAAATTCTGCTTTTTAACGGTATCACTGCAGCTCTGACACAAAGTATCTGTCATGGACACACAAGGTTTTCAGCCTGACACACAGGAACCAAACAACTTATGGCCATTTATAACGGATGAAATTACATTGCTGGGAGGTGCTACTGCTACGTTTGCCAGAGCGGCAAGCACAAAGCCATACAAAAAAACATGTCTGAGAGAGTGAGTGAAGGAGCCACAGGGAGCCGGAGAGAGGGAGGGAGTTTGTCAGAGAGCATTTATCTGTGGTATGGTGATGACTCTTTTCCTCCAACCTCTCAGCAAACTAAGCGCTTCCTGCCTTTTGAGTGCATGTAGCCATTTTTGTCCTTGAAACTAAAGCACATGCAATAAATTATGACCATTTTAAATAGCTATCAAGAAACAAGAGAGGGCTGGTTGGAGGAGAGGAGGTGAGAAGGAAGAATTTGAAGCTGCGCTCCTGGGAGAACGAGGAGAGAGAAAAGCAGAGGAATGAGAAACTGCAGAGAAGCATCTGAACCTTTGATGTTAGAGGGAGCAGAAAAGGCAGTTCTGCCACAGGCAGAGCAGAAGTTAATAGAGACTGACTGCAAGATAAAGTCAACACTTACTCTATCTATGAAGGAATTTGGCTGAAATGAGCAGAACTGTCTAATGATAAGACAACAAGCAGAAATTATGTTCCAAATGATTACAAACTGGGAGTTAATTCAACACCACATCTCAAACCGTACATGTAAACAAATCACAGACGAGCCACATCAACCTTTAACAAACTGACATATTATTTAGAGGAATCATTTGTACTGTAATATTAAGTCCATTAAAGGTGAACTTTTATTAAAATTTAAAGAAAAATGGTTTGTAAATACTTTGTCAAAAACAAAATTAGAGACATTGTACATCCCTATTAAAGGAAAGTCTGACCATGAATCATGTTACATCTCTCTTACAGCAGTATCTGTACTAGTATCTCTACTATCTCTAGTTTTAATGATGATGTAAAACTCAATTTAAAAACAGTCTCCAGCCATGCTAGCAGCTCTGTGAGGCTGTACTTAGCTAAATGCTAACATCAGCATGCTAAAATGCTCACAACGACACGGCTAACATGCTGATGTTTAGCAGGTTTCATGTTTACCATCTTGGTTTAGTATGTTAACATGCTAACATTCACTAATTAGCACTAAATACAAAGAACGGCTGAGGCTGATGAGAACATCAGTAGTTTTGCAGCATTATAAACCGAAGTATGGAACAAATTAAAATTTTGTAGTGATGATGGTGCTGGGTGAAAAATGAAGGGATCACCAGTGTTATTACAATTCATCCTGAGGGAAACATGACAGCTTGTACTAAATTTCATGGCGATCCATCCAATAGTTGTTGAGACATTTTATTCAAAGCTAAAAATGTCAATCTCATGGTTGACATTTTTGGCTACCTGAAAAGTCAGAGGATCACCAAAGTCATAGGATACATTGTCTTGGAAGCATCGATGTCTGTACGAAGGTTTGTGCCAATTTCTCGTTTATATTAGATTTGATTAGATATTTCAAAGGACAAGTGAAAACTTCGACCTGCTGGTGGCGCTAGATAGAAAGTCAGGGGATCACCAAAGTAATAGGGATTCAACCTCAGGGCCCCACAAATATCTGTACCAAATATCATGGCAATCCATCCCATAGCTGTTGACATTTTCAGTCTGGACCAAAGTGATGGAAAGACCAAGAGCTGAGCTGCTAGTGTGGCTAAAGATAGGAATGGTTGTTTCATTTTGATGTGTTTACATTTGCTAACTTTGTCTTAAATGCCTGAATGAGGAGGTAAGATCGAGTATTTAATCAGTGTCTATTCATTATGTCTCCAGTATTATACAGTAGCTACATGTTTGGTCAGTCATTCATAAATTTTGATATAAATAATGAAGGTTTCAATATCTGTTAGCGAGAAACAATTGAATTGGTTTTCTTTATTTCAGGTCTTTTTTGTAGTACTGTTTGAAAATGTATTTTCAGCCCTCTGGATGTGGCTGCTATGAATTTGTGATGTCTTGTACACCCACGCAGGCTGGGTATGAGTTGTAAAAGCTTCTTTCATTCATTCATTAACTGTAATAGGGTGAAAATTTAAGGCAGGATATGTAACCACTTTTTGGTCCTATTCCTGTGACCATAACCTTTCACCTGGAGGAGAATGCAAATCAGACACAGCCAACTTTCCTATCCGTAGTATCCAAACTCTCCTGCCATATGGTGCAATTGTCTTCTGTTGCAACATGGTTCTCTGTAAATCTCTATAAATGTGGCCTTGATCCCCAGGGAAGGGATAGCTTGGCCTCCACACCCGCTATGGATCAGCAGGCTTTCCTATGTGCCCCCACTGGATCGGTTTCAACTGGAAAGAGACAGGTGCTTCAGCTGACCTGCGCTGTCAGGACAAATTCAAAAAAAGGTCGCACAAGACACCCATCTCCCTGGGAATACAAAAATGCCAGAGTACTCTCAACTGTTTATCACCGGACATTTTACATAATTGAATTCCACTGATCCTGAACGCACCATGGCCCCCGACTGGCCTTGACTGGCCCTATGTCAGGTATGGTGCCATCAAAGGAAAATATAGGGGTGTGTGTGTGTGTGTGTGTATGTGTGTGTGTGTGTGTGTGTGTGTGTGTGTGTGTGTGTGTGTATGTGTGCATGTGCTCTTTTATAGTCAGCGCTGACTCATTCCTCTCCATTGTGACGGATGCGTGGCTACATAATGGCACAACTTAAAAGAGCTGCATACTACTCCTTCAGTGCTCTGGTGGTTTCTCTGAGGGACAGACAGTAAAAGCAGCTCAAGAGGAAGAGAGAGACAAAGCCTGTATCATTAACATTTCATTTCAGTGTGTGTTTATGTGTGTATCCAAGTTTTTCCACCAGTCCATCTGCGACCAATGAAGTGTGTGAATGTGAAAGCACATACACACACACACACACATAAACAGTGGTGTGGGAGGACAAGCCCTCACTTTAATGTGAAATTTTGTAATGCTGTTTGTTTCTGCTGATGTTCTTTTCTCCCTCCTCTGTCCTCTCCTCTTCGCCCTGTCTGTGGGCCGCTTCAAGGATAAGTCCAGTAGTAATGCCTTTACCATACTGCATTGTGTGCATGTGTGTACTTCGCATGTGTGTGTTTGCACGCTCTACATGGGTGTGCTACGAAGAACATGGAATAAAGTATGCAACTCTTTTGCACAAAATATATGAGGGAGTGAGTGGATGAGTGAAACACTGATAGTGTCGGTGCATAGTGAAGCAGCAGAGGATTTTTCTGGTTATTTGCATGAGGAGAGCTATGAAAAGTAGACAAGAATGTGTTGTATAACATTCAAGAATTCCAGACCTGGTCTAATGACTTAAAAAGAAGGGGGCCGGCAGGATTAAGAGACTTGCCATGTTTCCCTTACCTGCCTCTCCCGTCTTCCCTGCGCTGTTGAGATGTTAAGTAACATCACAACAGCCATCTCTTGTGGAAGAGGGTGGACAGGACAGCGCTAGCCCCTGCTTCCTGTGCTGCAGGCTGCGGCTTTGTCAGATCCCTGCTCAGGAGAAACCATTAGTCCAGAGCTTGTCTGATAGCTTGGACACACGTGGGGGTCTGCACAAGGCAAGAGCCAGAGGCAACATAGAATTGTAGTCTCACATCACTGGAGGAGGGACACAATAGAAAAGGACTAGCAGGCAAGCTGAGCTGATGACCATATGGAAATACAAAAGACAAACACGTCTTGACAGCAGATCAGTGCGAGCTGACCACATAAAGGAATGCGAATAATCTCTATATCAACAGCGCTGAGCATGTTTCTGATGTTATGTGCTGCGTTTAAAGTTGACGATTGACTCTGAATGTCCTCCCTTTCTACACAAACAGCTCTTAATCACAGAAAAGTCAGCGTTCTTTTTAACAGATGCTGTGGCAAAGCGGGCGGAAATTGTGAGCTTATAGCGATTTTCATTCATTCCTTTATTGAACTGCCAACGCCACCGAGAGCCAGGTCGGACGGATGGGGACGTGATTCTACTGCTGTGTATGTTGAGGTCTCATATGGTGTCCATACCAGTGGACATGGCGGAGCTTTGCGTGCCAGACATGAGGACTGTGAATGTAAACTGAGGATTGCAGCAAAATTCAGAGCAGGCCGCTTCCAGTCTACTGCTGCTCGCACTGACACTGTACAGAAGACGAAGACATAAAAACAGACCTCAGTGAGTGAATCTGAATCTGTTTGACAAATGTGGGGGTTTATTACCTGAAACGTCCAGATTCGTTAGCAAGTAAATAATGGAGAAGATTCAAGTGACTGCAGAGCATTGTAAAGTTTGATGTGAAGATTTAGCTCTTGTCATTAACACTAATCCTGTCCTAACCCATATTCAGGCATTTTACTGACAAGATGCTCCTGTCGACATTTCATCCACTTCCCCTTTACTACATGTATCACATCCTCCAAACCTCAGTGGATTAGGAGTCACGCCTATTCTCAAAGAACATAAAGGAATCCAAAGCAAACAGAAGATTGTGCAAGATTTTAATTATTTTTAAGTTGCACTGAATTTTTAATTTCTAAATCAACAGCTCTCACACAACAAAGAGTTCAGAGAGTTGATATGATACAAAAAAAAAAAGCTCCAGGCTCCTGCACACACTTCAGGTAAACATTCAAAATATACATGTCACATATACAAACTGTGCACAGTGGCGACCCCAGCAATGTAAAGCAGTGAGGAGCCCCGAGGAGCCCAGGACAGGATGTTATCTCATCCAGGGAGATAGGAAGTATGGACAAGAAATCTAGAGGGAGGGGGAGGAGAGGGCCCATATGGGAAGTGCAGTGTAAACAGTCTCGGTTTTTAATCATCCCAGCTCACGTTCGGAACTGGACTCCCTTTGATGTTCTCCCTCAGCGCCCCCTCCGCCCTCCCATCCCTCGTTCCCAAACGGCCGTGCTGAGGGCCAGGCGGGGGAAACATGCAGATAGTGTCCTCAGACAGTCAAGGGAGGCATTCAGTACCTTGTGGGACACTGAGAAGGGAGACGAAAGAATGTGAAGTGCAGAGTTAACTGGTGTTCAGTCAATTGCCGGGCCTGCCTTAATTATAGCTGATGTATTTAAGGGAGCTCTCAAAGGTCAATTCAACATTTCAAAGTACAAAGACCCAAAAATAAAGCGTGAGGAAGAAAAGAAAGTCAAGATGGCTCGAAACGAGAATAGGTGGAGCTTTTTTGATGTCCTTTAATTGGGCACAATGCCTGCTGGAGGATAAGCTCCAACTCCTTCTCCAAACAGTGGACAGTTGACAATCCTTTCAAGTTTAAAGTTATCCCATAAGCCTTTGCACTTCTCCTAAGCTCACTATGCAAGATTCATTTTGGAGGGGGGTGGGGGGTGGGGGGTGAGCGAGTCAAAATTCCTCTGTATTTGTATTTGTCCAAATAGTGCTGGCCAGACCCCAGCAAGTGTTCCAATGAACGTGTTCATTCAGAGGACAGGGCATACTTCCAGGGAGATCACAGTTTAATAGATCAGAGGGAGATACGTACCAAAGCAAAGTCTCATGACTTGAATACACGGATGAAGACTGGGAACTTTTTCTATACCCTGCTCTGAGTCTGTTCCTTACATGCATTAGCAAAATAGGGTCTTGTGGTACATGAAGGAACTACTGTGACTCCTGCTCCAACTTTAGGAATGTAATATTGGCAAAAGGCAAAAAAAATGTGCATCTGTACAGTTTTAACAGCACAGTAAAGGTCAATCTTAACTGGTACAAAACAAACAAATTTAGCTTCTAACGCTGGATGTTGCTCTCTTAAATATCATCTTCCAAATCGGGGTAATTCAAACAGAGCAGCAGCAGCATGGCTCAGAGGGGAGATATGTTACTGTAGCTTATGAAAACTGTCTGCCATGCTTCAGCGTGGTCCAGAGTTAAATCTGAGGTAGCTTCTGGAATTCCTACAGTACTTTCACTGAGGTAACACACAGGAATTTAGCCCCATAGAAGACATCTACCAGTTTGGTTTTATGGTTATGATAACACATTAACAGGCTGGATACAGGAGGAGAGAAGGAGGACAAAGACATTGTGAGGGAAAGAACCTATCTATGGAACTCAACCTCCTTCCCAGCCTTCATCCCCCGCATCCACTGGAAGACAAGAACATAAAGCGGGAACTGTAAAGCAGCCTGCAGAGGCAATGAGGACCTGTTGGAACAGGTCTAAACTGCAACAAAGAGCATCCTGCAGCACAACACCACCTCTGTGCACGGTGGGAACAGCCCGGGAAGAGAGAGTCTGACAAAACTATAGTTTCCTAGCTCTGGACAGAACCACAAACAAGAAAACAAAGGCACGGACAAAACCAACTCTACTGACTTTTTAACCTGCAAAAAGAAAAAGAAAAAACAGGGATCTTATCAGCAGAGGATTAGGCTGTCGCCATTCCGACGATGGCAGAGATAAAAGTATTAGTTGACTATACACTAGTGCACCTTCCTTCACACCTTTAGGGAAATACAGGCGGATACCACCTCTACAATCTTGATCAAGCCCCATCACCCATGTGCCAGCTGATATGCACTCTACCTTAGTATGTACAGGATGTTGCGGGGTGGAGGGGGTGGGGGGGTGGAGGGGTGTCATATCTTTTTGTGCATTTACAGCAAATTTATATTTTGTCCTACAGATCTGCACAAAAGGTGTACAAGGTTTTATGGGAAAAAATAAAGAAAGCTGGAAATCCCAGAGAGGTGGAAGTGTCTTTGATCTCAGCTGCGCTGTGTGTTGCCTCCATAACATGTTGCCAACATCCCACACAGACACATTAAAGTCAAATTGTTTTAACTGGAGAGGAAAACAGCAATGGCTTTTCATCATCCCTAATACTGGGCTTTCTCTGTGGAGGGGCCATGTAAATCCTTATCAATTATGGCAAACTGCAGCATCTGGCTCGCCATTCACCAAACCTCCCACACCTGGTGAGTGAGGAGAGACAGGATTGTACAGTACCTCACATCTGTCGTCCTGTTTCTTTGGAAACGGCAAATAAATTGACGCAGCCAGGCTTTATGGCCCGGGAACCTTAATCCACTCCTGAATCCTAAATATGCACACTGAATAGACTGCATACTTTACAATTGAAGGGTAATGACAAGCTGTTTTCTAAATGGTAAAAAAAACACAAAAAACACTTTCTTTTTCTTAAATTAGGTTTGCATGGGTCTAAATGTGATTTGTTGTGTTCATTAGGAGTCTCCAGCCACACCTTGGTATTAAACATGTTGGAGGAACAGTAGATGCCATAAATAGTTCATCCAAAACAGAGCTGTCACCTTAGAAAAGATACACCTACAAAAGTTGGCAACCTGAACCAAACCCATGTTTTTCAGGGAAGTAAAAATAGACTGAAAACAAACTAACCTCAATAACACCTGTATGTCATCACTATTGTTAAAGGAATTTAGATATTCTGTCATCACATGCTGAGTGCTGAGTGGAAAGGGCAGTATTGTGAGCAGCTCTTGGAAAGATACAGAGTGCTGTAACCCATGGTCACTACAGTATTTTGATGGCGTATAGCAACAAGTACAGGTGTTAACATCATTTGGTTTATCAGACAGTGGATGCTGTGTAAACTGTTTTTTAGGTTAGGGAAACATGTGGGACCAACAGTCACTCCACAGAGGGATTGATACACTGAAAGACAGGACAGTGTGTTCTGAAAACTAATTGTCAAATTAATGCTTTTTACATGGAGCCCCTCTAATCTAAGGGCTTTTAATGTTTAATTATTTCTCTCCATAGTGCAACAGTAATAGAGGCAGAGATTAGTCCAGTTGATCACTAAAGGGGGTCCCAAAGCATAAAGCCATTTAACTCCATAAATATCTTTTAATAAATTTACTATGGGAGAAGTTGAATTTAGTAATCCTGATCTATCTACAGATAGAAGAACAGTAAATTATCTTCTACAGTGAAATTGCCAGTGGGAGGGTCCCCTGGGACAATAGGGTTATCAGAGCAATGGGCCAATGTAAATGTATATCAGGGCACTAGGGATGCCAAGTGGTAAGGCGGTCCTTCAAATACAATACATGGGCCAAGACAAAATATTCCCACACTGCTTAAGTCTGAGCAAGGCACTGAATCTCTAACAGCTTTTAACCGCTATTCACTTCTCAGGGAAGCCTGTAGAAACTTTTGGCCCGTGAAACAGCTGAACAACAACAGGTGCCCATCCTTAGCCCTGCACCCCTGCCCCCTGAAAACCTGAGAGAATTCCTCTTTTCAGTTGTTTGGGGGTAAAAGATAAGTGAGAGTGGGAAAACCTGGTGGGTCAAACCATGTAGAGACTGTTTTATGAAACCTTACCTGCATTAGTTTCCCCTCCGCGTATCCGGCACTTCCTCCCACGAACACTCCTTCCAGAGTGATGGGCTTCCCCGTAGGCTCGTTCTTCAGCAGTGTCACCTTGATGACCGCTCGGAGGGCCGGCCGCTCGGACTCCAGGCCCGGCTGGCCCAGCACCACCTGCAGGGCCGCCATGAGCAGCCACGGCCAGAGCCCGGCCAGGCGCCGCTGAGGGACGGTCATGGCCTCGGCTGTAGCGGCGGTGCCCGGCCGCACATGGTGGACTTCAAAGCAGGCAAGACCACGGATAAACAAGAAAATATTTATACACGTTCCACTTCTTCTTTCTGCCTCGACGACTACTGCGAAATAGATACAATCCAAATGTTTAAAGCTGGAGCACTGCCAGCATAACTCAAACTCATAACTCAGACTTCCATTCAGCACCAGAGTTAATATTCAAACTCTACACGTTATAGAAATGCGTATCTCTCAGTGCCCACATGGAGCCAGCACCTGCGTTACAGAAAACTGATATCCTCCGAGATAAAAAACAAGCTTTAGTGAACTTTTATCCAGTGTCATTAATATGCGTGGCTGAACATCGCATGCACAAATGCACCATGAAGACACGTTGTGTTGTGTTAGAGCCTGAAGTGTGCATTGGTTTCCAACAGCCTGGTCTTCATGAGACAGACAACAAATGTCCTCATTTGTAACGTGTTTGCCTTATAGTTGAACTGTTGTATCCTCTCCCAGAAGGGCAGGTCCTGGCAACAGTGTGTCGATCTTCATCCGTATCCGAACTACTACTATTATTATTATTATTACGGTGTACACCAGTCACTGTGCCTTACAATCACATTTTGCGAGCGAACAGAAGTTGACAAACAGCGTCAGAAGGCAGCACGTCCTGTGGGCGCCACATTTTCTGGATAAATCCACCGAAAACGCAGAAGAGCGACGACTTGAACTTCAAAGGCTGGGTTACAGGTTGCCGCCGGAAACTTATAAGGCATGTTAACATATAATGTCGTGCCAAAAGGTTGGGTAATATTTTACAACCAAGGAGTTGCGAAAAATAATCCTCGAAGAAGTTAAATTCAGTACACCGTATTATCTTATTATTAACCAAAGCAAATGGACCGTTGCCTTACTTCACATATAACTTGGTAATTATACTGGGTCCGAAACCAAAGCGACTTCTGTAACAGACCCACCAACTTATTTTCTACAGTCGGCGTTCATTTTAACATATTCACTGCTAACAAAAGAAAAAGAAAGAAGAGAGAAAAAGGCATTCCCGAGTTCAGTGCCTCCGCTGCACTGTGAGAAATTAGATACGATCCTCCTGAGAACACCGAGGGAAATGAATCGTTTATCAAAATCATAAACGAGAACGGAGAAGAAACACTACTGAAAGTACGGAATAAAAATGCTCCAAACTCCTTGAGATTCCCATTTAAAGTTGATAAAGCGGAGAGACACAGTGTACAGTTATGACACCGTCCCAAAAGTCTACCTCCCGGACTCTCTCTCGCTCCCCTGGGATCTCATTGACAGTCTCTACCTGCTCACTGTCCTGCTGCCTTCGCGTGCTGTCGGAGATTGGGCTTTTCTAGAAACTCCGGGCCCGAGCGACAAAAAAAAAAAAAGTGCTTGGAAAGGGGGGGTTTTGCCACCTGTTTTGTTAAGACGGAAGAGAAGCCATGTAAACTAATTCCGTTACAGGTGTTACGTGGTAGTATTATAATAGTACTGTCCGAAATGCAAGGTAAGAGTTGCAGCTGGCATTCACGCTTCAATTACTTTCAGTCAGATTTACTTTTTAAAGGATTAGATTTGGTCATCAAAACGCACGTAAATCTTACAGAAGGGGAAAGAAGTTATAGAAATAAAGTAATAGGAGCTTCAGAGTAGCACCTGAAGGCAGCATTAGATGCTGAGGGAGGAGCAGACGCACAGCCGCAGCACTGATCAAAAACGAGTGAGTGGCTCCCTCTAGTGTACAACATCCTCCCCAACCAGCAGACTCCTGTACCTGGCTGTAGAGCCAACAAGACAGTGAAACACACATGAACAAATCATCCAGCTGAATTATCCAAACTATATCAATTTTAATAACAATACTTGTACACATGTACCTTTAAAATACGTCAATTACAAGTTTAAAAAAACTGTACCCTTTAAGAGATGCAGTGAAAAATCAAAAGGTGGGGAAAGTACTACCACAACGCAAACAATCACTATAGATTAAATAATAATACTAAAATAATAATAAACATTTTTATAAGATTATTTAACATGCTCCCCCATTAGTTTGTTACAACTTGTGATGACAAACCAGTTATATTATTAAAATGTAAGTCAAATGTGCATATTAAAATGGGGAGAGGCTGAGTTAAGGTAGTCTTCCTACTGCGAATATGTATAAATTATATTTTAAATTAAGATTCCTTAAGAACATCAGAAGTTGGTAAAAACATTTTAGATAATACTGTGTAAAAATATATGTAAAACTTTGCTTTACAATTTTTAAAAAATATACCATGGCACAAGTAATTCTAATTCTTAGAGAGACAAAAATATGACTCAAATTAATTAATTTTCCAAAGTCACTATATAAAATATACAACATTTAAATACTTTTTAAATAAGATTTAAATAACAACACACTAACACAGAAAACACAACAATAATAATTTAAGTGGAAAATTAAGTCTGGTAATAGTGAAAACTTCACTATTATACATCACATCCTCAAGACTCCTTTACATGCCAATCAAATCAACATGTTGAGATCTAAAATGAGAAATATAATCAACTGTCAGTAAACCTGTTGCAGCGATGACTTGCAAATATATATTCAATTTTCAAACTCCTTTCCTTCCACTAGTTTTACTCTGAATGTGCTGCCTGAATGTTCAGTGCAATGTCTTACCTGCAGATTTGGTGTACTTCTTTTGGAGCTGCTGTTGCTACGCCTGACTGGTATTGAGGGAAGTGACACTAACTTTTACATCCATGACCTCTGTGTCCTTTGAATCATCACTGGTAACCTTACCAGGGCACAGAGGAAACCGCAGCAAATAATGTACAGATCTTCGGCCAAACTGTTACACATTGTCTAATACATGTACATACCCTATGAACTATAAAAATAAACCTCATGATGAATATTTATGTTTGCAAACCACTGGACAAATCTCCCCCAGTCTTTCCTAGCAACATCTCTTTCCTTCAGAAAAGATGAAACTTAAAGTATTCAGAAAATCTACAATGTTAGGGCTTACCTCAAATATGTCATCTTCAGGCATTTGCTCAGGTACTGAAACCAGAGATTCCTCCTGCTGTCTGAATGCCACTTGATCAACATTGCCTGACACAGCCATTATAATGGGTCCAGCACACAAAGGGTTAGCTTTCGTCATGCTGGCAGGGTTGTAGCACATCATGGCGTTACAGGCGTTGGAGGACAGCTCTAATGCAGGCCCTGGCTTCTCTGGGGTCACAACTTTAACAAGGCAGCTATTGGGTGGAGTTTGCATCACTTCATCAGCAATCTGGAAAACTGTGTCCAAGTTAATGTCCTCTTTTTTCACCTCCTGGTTTTTCTTATTCTGTGAGTCCTGGTGTTGGTTCCCATGACACAACATATTCATGGGATACCCTGCCTAAACACAGTACATGTAAAAAATACTCATCTTTCTTGATCGATCACAGATTTGTTGAATAGAGTCACTGACTACATGTAAATACACTCCAATTCACCTACCTGGTAATAACTATGAGGAGAGAACGGCCCCGTGTGAAGCCCACTACCTGTCATATGTGATGCCACGAGGTTTGGATGGTAGCATTGCCAAACTTCAAAAAGAACAAATAATAATATTTTACATCATATGTACAGTTTCAGGCCCTTACTGGAGTTGAAACCTGCATTTTGCATTCATAATTTTAAAAAATAATATTCATTCAACATAAAGCACATTTTAGTGCATTACGAGTATATTTTAGCCAATTATATTTCTTTCTACCCATGTACAATTGAAGTAAAGTGATGTAAAAATTTGTGTTCATAACTCCCTTCCTATGTCATGCTCACCTGGGGATTGGTAGCTGGACTGGCACTGTGCATTAGCAGAATTAAAACTGGTGAAATTGGGATTTCCGTGGTTTGCACGGGCCATTAAGCCTTGCTGAAGCTGCATGACATTGGAGCTTGGAGCTACTCCACTGTAGTGGTGGCTTAAAGATACTGGTGTCCCTTTGTCTGCAGCAAAGACAGAAGGAGAAAGCGCTGCCCCATGACCCCTTATCAGGTAATGTGGTGGGACTGGGGTTCCATTGTGTCCTGTCATGGCCTGAGCTTTACGCGGACAGTAAGGATGAGTTGACTCCTGATGTAAGAGGCTAAGCAGTGAAGCGCCTGCAGAAACAGGAAGAAGCAAAGTATGAAAGCAACTTTTTAGACAGTGATTAATGATATTTAATGATATTTACTGAATTGCAATGGCAAGAACAAGTATGTACACCCTTAGGAAGCACCTGGTTTTCTGCAGTAATTGGTCATAAAATGTGATCTGATGTTCATCTAAGTCACAAATATTGGCAAACACAATGTGATTAAGCTAATATAACATAAACAATTATCATCTTTTGTGTCTTTATTGGACACTCCCATTAAACATTCACAGTGCTGGTGGAAAAAGTAAGTGAACCCTTGGATTTAATAACTGGTCAAACCTCTATTGGCACCACCAACTTCAAACAAGAGCTGCTGATCAGACCTGCACAATGTTCAGGAGGAAGTTTGGATCATGTTTCCGACAGAACTGCTTCAGCTGAGACATATTTACCATGTCTGGTGTGAATGTTCCTCTTCAGGTCATTCCATAGTAACTCTATTGGGTTATGGTCTGGCCTCTGACTGGGCCACTCCAATCCAATAAGAGTGATATTTTCAACATGGACCAGAACAATACATGATTTGTGTGTCATTAGTTAAAATGGGTTGTGTTCGTTCATTATTTTAACTCGGATGAAGATCTGACCATATTTTAGGACAAATTCATACATAAAGAATTCAATTAATTTTTCTTGCTAGTGTAAAACCGAAATTAGATGCTTGGTTCAGATGAAAAGTGACACAGGATTAGGATTTTTACTGATTTGACAGACAGAAATAGTTTAATTTTATAGTATTATTTCCTCTACCACTTCTTCCCCACAACCATGACCAGTCAAGTGGTTGCACTTGCCTCTTTTCACATCTTTGTCTCTGCCAGCATCACCTCCACTATGTCTCAGGTATCGACTCGGAGGCCGACAATTCACGTTCAGTCCAGCCTGTATTTTGGCCTTATTGTCAACAGTGAGTCTCTTCATGCTCGCAACAAGTTCAGGGTGGTTTCGCTGGAAGTTTGGGTTGTAAAAATGATGATATGTCCCGCTGTCCCCGCTGGCATGTTGTCGGTCTTTAACAGCTAGATCGGATTTCCTGAAGCCGTACAGGTTGAGCTGACGGACAAAGCTTGAGAAGTTGTTTGTTTTGAAGGCGTCAGCGTTGTCCGAGGTGGTGGTGGAAGACAGGATCTGTCTCTCGAAGAGCTTTTGATCAATGACCACGACCTTGCCGAGGCTGTCCCAGCAGATGGCTTTATTGGCCGGATTGTTCACTAAACGCCACAGTTTGGCAGGGAAATTATTAGGATTGATGCTGTCAGGGAGTGAACTGTCACCAACATCCATGCTTTAGTCTGTAGAACTGGAAACAGAGGTAATGCTAGTGAACCTCATCTGAATATCAGGCAAACTGTCAGCAGTTAGCTAGCTAATAATCCACCATAACACATTTACTACCAGTTATACAGTTAACTTTGAAGTAATTAAACTTAGCTAACATGGCACTCTTTAATAAGTTTAACTAGGACAGGTTAAAGTTTATACACAACATAATATATGCTCAAAATGGAAACTCCCACGAAGTTAACAGTTAAATAAAAAATTGTAATTGAGAAAATTTTTGTCAGTCCCAAAAGTCACAAAAATGCTAACTTTCAATGTTACTGGTACTGAGCTATCATTAGCTAGCAATAAGCGAACATTAACTCACCAGGGACCTGCTTTGTAATTTGAATTATTTTAGCACAGTAATGTTAAATAACGTTGCAGAAAATTGTTTCGACGTTTCCTAAAATTTTCGGGGTCACGTTATGTCAAAACTAAAAGAAATACCATGATGTTCGTACCTGGATCGCCACAGATCACCTGTCCTGTTCTCTCGGAACCGTTGGAAGTTCCCGAACCGTTGAAACTGTTGGAGTCCAACGTCTCATCTGGAGCCAACGGCCACGATTCTATAAAGTGTCTCTGGGTTTATGAGCTGTTCCTTCTAGGTTTGACTGTCCATTTCATTTGGACAGATCAAATCCAGTAATGTTATTTAAAAAAAATAATCTATAACAAGTTGAAGCCTTGCATTCAAAGTGTTACTTCCCGAATTGCAGCGAAGTAAAAAAGGTTTAGATTATTACATATTAAATTATAGTCTTTCTGTAATCAACAGATGCTGATGAATAAGCTATAATATGTTTTGTGTGAAATGTTTAGTCTGTAAACAGTAACAATAGCACTCAAACAAATGTGGTCAAGTTAAGAACAATATTTCATTGTGAAATTTGGAATCGAGCAAAAGTCTTTACTTTCCATCACTTGGACAAATTACGATTAAACATAGAAATAATCAACGTTTTTACTAATAAGAGGTAGCAAAAACCTTATTCTAAGTGTGTTGTAGACAGATAGATATGCCTAGATAGATAGATAGATAGATAGATAGATAGATAGATAGATAGATAGATAGATAGATAGATAGATAGATAGATAGATAGATAGATAGATAGATAGATCCTAGATCCTGAAAATGGCAAATCTGCAGGAAATGCGAACAGCCATAATTAAACTCATTAACTGCACGTGTGTATTTCCTGCTTTGACTTATCATAGATGTCTACTGTGAAAAAGGTTTAATCAGCCTGTTTGAAATATGTATTGAAAGAGTGACAGACGGCCACAAATAACCATTTTAGCTGAAACTGAACTCATGAGGACAGTCTCTGTAGAAATACATTACTGTGGCCAAAATGTACAAAAAAATAAACTGATCAAAATTTAATCTTGAATGTATTTATTGCTGAGTTACACAGTACTACAACAAATAGCTCAATAAGTGAATGAACAAAGACGGCTATGCATTTACAGCAGCTTTATGAGTTGATCATGTGTCTTCACCCTCGTACATATGATTTGTGCAAAATGTGTGTTTTTTAACAGGTTGAAGTTTAAAATATGGCTCACGCCAGAGAAATTTGAGTAAATGCTGATTTAATCCACATGGTATTTAACCTTGCTTCGTATGCAAAACAGTGACTTTGATGACAGTGATATAATAATGATATTCATAAGTGATATAATAATACAGTGATACAATAATAATAATGATATTCAGGGTCATTATAAAATAATTAATAAAACAATAATAATTATAAGTGATATAATAATACAGTGATACAATAATAATAATGATATTCAGGGTCATTATAAAATAATTAATAAAACAATAATAATTATAAGTGATATAATAATACAGTGATACAATAATAATAATGATATTCAGGGTCATTATAAAATAATTAATAAAACAATAATAATTATAAGTGATATAATAATAAAAATAAATAAAATAAGAAAGCAGACAACGTAAGAGCAGTTCATTAAAAAATACATAAAGTTATACAGTCCAACTCCAGAAATTTAAACAAAGAAATTTTGTGAATATGCTCATAATCAAAAGGTAGTGTAGTTAGTTGTAATAACTAAAACTACTATTGATAACTCCTCCGTTTCACCCTCCCCCCAGGTTAAGAGCCTGGGTGTCGTCCTTGACAGCACACTATCCTTTCAATCCCACATCAATAACATTACCCGGTCTGCCTACTTCCACCTACGAAACATTAATCGCCTCCGCCCCTCCCTTACCCCCACACTGCCGCCATCCTTGTCCACAGCCTCGTCACTTCCCGTCTGGATTACTGTAACTCTCTCCTCTTCGGCCTCCCTCTTAAATCCCTCCATAAACTTCAATTGGTCCAGAACACAGCTGCCCGTATCATTACTCGTACCCCCTCCATCCACCACATCACTCCTGTCCTCCAACAGCTCCACTGGCTACCGGTTCACTTCCGTATTCATTTCAAAGTCCTTCTATTAACATTTAAGGCCATCCACAACCTCGCCCCCCCATATCTGTCCGACCTCCTCCATGTCCCCACTCCCTCCCGCTCCCTCAGATCCTCTTCCTCCACACACCTGTCTGTCCCCTCCGCCCGTCTCACCACCATGGGGAGTAGAGCATTCAGCCGCTCTGCTCCCCGTCTCTGGAATCTACTACCACCCCAACTCAGAAATATCGATTCATTCCCCCATTTCAAATCACAACTCAAAACACATCTGTTTAAAACTGCCTTTTCCATCTGATGCCAATTGCTCTGTCACTTTCGTATTGTTTTTATTTTTATATTTCATTTTTATTGTTGCTTCTTCTTAATGTGTTTTTAATCTCAATTTGTGTAACTCTGTACGGTGTCCTTGAGTGCCAAGAAAGGCGCCTTTAAATAAAATGTATTATTATTATTATTATTAAAATTCAATTTTAGTTAAAAGTAAGGATTAGTAAGGAATGTGTGATGTCTTGCATAAAACAAATATAGTGCATCATAAATATATTTTTAAAAAGATTTCTGGGCCAAGAGGAACAAATATACAATGTGTAACTATACAATACCATTTTCTGTAACTGAGCTTATTATTTATTTATTTTATTTAATGATTTTTATGCAGGCGCTCTACACCGACACCTCTGTGCTGTTCTCTTGTAGGTCCTCACCGGTGACGTAATCACCAGCGACAGGAATACATTCAAAACATTGATCTGTTTGGTTGTTTAGTATTTCTACAGTATTATATGCTAGGAGCTTAACATAATGGCGTTGGAGACTGTCCCTAAAGACCTGCGCCATCTGCGGGCATGTCTTCTTTGTTCGCTGGTGAAGGTAAATATTGAAACAGCGAGGAAGAAACGATCGAGCTAGCTTCTGTGCTAACATGTAGCCACTCTCTGCGTAGCGTTTTTTTTGTTGTGTATCACGCATTAAATGAATGGTTGGAGGGATGATTTCATGATTCCATTTGTTAAATCAAGCATTTTGTATCTTACTTTTAATGTTTTATTTTTTGTCAATTGTCTTGAGTTGGTGTAATGTATTACCACCTCAATTACCCCCTCCTTGTCTTTAGACCATTGACCAGTTTGAATATGACGGCTGTGACAACTGTGAGTCCTACCTCCAGATGAAGGGGAACCGGGAGATGGTTTATGAATGCACAAGTTCCTCATTTGACGGGTAAACATTGACATAGCGCCGATTATCCCAAAACTTTCACATGGAGTGTTTTCTCCATGTTTACCACGGCTGTCTGTATGTCCACAGTGTGATAGCCATGATGAGTCCGGAGGACAGTTGGGTGGCCAAATGGCAGAGGATAGGTAAGGATGTGTGTCTGTACTTGAAGCTGCATTAATCGATTTCCGACCACTAGGAGGCAGAGGAAATTAGAAAGCCAAGACACACACACACGCCCGCACGCACGCACGCACACACACACACACAGAGAGAGAGAGAGAGAGAGCTAGAGGGGCCTGAAGTGCTCTTTTAAAGTTGTTAAAGCTCAGCATTCACTGGAATGGTATCTCTGGTTTGGCCTCCACCAACCGGCTCCAGAGCTGCTACTTATCCCACTTTCTTCACCAGCTAGTCCCAAACTGTGACTGTCTGCTGTTTAGTACCGGGCATGTGGTGTACACTGGGTTTATTAGAGGTTGTTTAAAATAGCTGCTGGCTGTTTCTGGGAACTGGGTTGAGGAATAGAAACTGAACCACATAGAAAATATGTCCATGAGGCAGAAACAATAATTTCTTTTTATTGTTTATGCCCACTTCTGTGTGGGTTTAACATACATTATACAAGGTCACTTGTTAATAATAATAATAATAATAATAATTAAGAGTAATGCAGCTGTAAAGCTAGTGTACAATGCCATAGAGAACAATCTTAATCATGCACTTGTTCCATTCATTTTGTTCTTCATCCTACAGGCAACTTTAAGCCAGGTGTATATGCTGTGTCAGTGACGGGCAGACTACCTCCAGGTATCTGACTCTTCTGCCTCAATATTTAGCAAATCACACACACAAACTTAGAAAGTAAGTGTTTGGTTGTTTTCTTTATTGGAGTTCTTGCTGTTTACATTGCTATTTTTTTTCTCCTTTTCTGAAGGTGTGGTGAGAGAGCTGAAGAGCAGAGGAGTGATCTACAAATCCAGAGACACAGCAGTCAAGACTTAAACCGACTGCTTCCAGTTTACGTCGTCTGATTAGCCACATTAGAACGGTATCATACTGCAGCACCAACCCCAGGAAGAAGTTACAACTGCTGGACTGTTCAATTCTTGTGTTTTTTTATGATTAGAAAAATTAGCATCGGTGATTATCGGTGAGAAAAAGTGGATATTTCTTATTTTCTTTCTTTGAATAATTGAGGAAAAATAAAAGTCTGTTTTTATAAGAAATATGAATAGTTGTCATCACATCACTATTAATTTTTTATTTCTATGCTTCTGTCAGCAGTGAGATTTACCTATGCTAGGACAGGATGTGTACCATTGGAGAGCACATTTCACCTCACACTCTCAGTAAGTCTCAGTTATTCAGTAGATGGTGGACTGCCAGGCGAAGCAGATATGTTCTAGGGTGATCCTGTGCTAAAGCTGATACAGTTCAGTGGAAGTTCCCCAGAAAATTTTTTAGTAGGAAGACAACTTCTGTAAATCCCTGATTGAACTGTAAAGAATGTGAAACCCACAAGTCAATGACTCAAAGTGGTGTAATGAGAGAGATAATTCCCCTCTTTGCCTGGAAGAATAACAAGCTCAGCAGAACGAGGCAGACTGCAGGATGACACAGCACTCAGTCTCCCTGCATCTGACTAACCTCACCACACTTATTCTTGAAAAGCAAAATGGTGGAGTCATGTTAGAGAACAGAAATAACTTCATTTACATATGTATGATTTTTTTAGACAAACTATCGGTGCGTTCTATGGACGTCAATGTCAGTCAGTCCACCACTTCGGTCCAGAGTGAAATATCTCAACATCTACTGGATGGATTTCCATGAGATTTTGTACAGACCATGTATTCACTGTGAAATTGCTGCGTCTCTAACTAGTGAACTAGCGACTGATTTGAAACACCAGACAGGAGGGACTGAACAGCAAAATCATCTCCTCATTTTCATCTTGAACAAATGATAATGAAACGTTCCTGTACTAATCTATTTGAACCACAAGATGGTGCTTTTTACTGAGTATCTCAATAACATGCAGAACCACTCACTGCCAGTAGGGTGAACCAGAGGCTAAACCTTTAGTAGAGTTAATACATTCTCACCTACTGAGTATCAGAAAGTGTCTCCAGTTAAATTTTAGAGTTCTGTTCGGCTCCAGTAGCTGCTGTAGTTACTGTTTCATTGTACAATAGCCTGTACAGAATATCAGGTTTGTAGTTATAGTCATCCTGTGCTGCTGTGTGTATCAGGTCTACTGTTGGCTTATATTTCTGTACAGGAGGAACATTTTTTATTGCCAGAGGGTCCAGGCATTGTCTAATTTCACTGTAACCTGAAGGACTGGACTCATGAACACTGAGGACTCTTTAAATCTCTGTAAGTGAGCACAGTAAGCTCTTACTGTTGTCGTATCAGATGCTGTTAGTTGCTATTTGAATGCACAGGCACCTGGTGCAGATATTTTGTTGCAGGCACAGTTAGTGAAACCACACTTTGATTAAAAAAAAAAAAAAAGTAGAAATAGCTCAGATTATGGTTTAGAGATGAGAAGCAGATGTTTTTTTAGTTCTTCTGTCATACTACCAGGTACAACTCACCAGGCATTCATAATTAAAATAAATAAAAATAAATTAACATTTATTGCCATCAGGGATTTTAAATTCAGTAAAGAGCATAAAACAAACCAGCATAAGAGGTAAATGTATCTGTGATGTAATACACAGGAAGTCTGCCCCAGTTTCATGTATGAACAGGAACATTTCTTACTCTACGATTCTGGACAGACTGTAATAGGTCATGGAGGGAGAGAGATGCCACTGATTAAACATTACTGGGTTTTTTTTTTTTACTGACATGAACAAGGCAGTCACATCTGTGCTGAATAATTTTAATATATCAAGAGGAAAGTTTATGCATCTATTCTTAATGATGATAGAATCATTATTTCTTATCTAATGCCTCTGAAGAAGCGTGCAAATATACTCTGACTACATCATATGTCAAACTGCAACTCGAGAGAAATACAAGGCTATAAATACAACAGTTAAACCTCACACTGCATCTTCTGCCTGTGCGCGTCTTTACTGCAGCATGTGTATGGGCGCCTCATGTAGATCTGGTCTTGGCCCCTTCGTGGGCCATGACACTGTAACTGGATCTCCATTAGAAGCAGGTTGCAACCGATGATCGTATCTAATGTCTTTATATACAGTCACTGGTTACAACAGTGTGTGAGGACTCAGTATTACCACTGAGGTCATAGAGGTGAGTTATTCTGTTGCTGTCTCTTCATCCTTCCTGAGAGACAGCGGTGTGAGGAAGTACTCAGAGGTGTCAGTGCTACATGGTAAAGATACTTTCTGTGATACGAGTACAAGTGCTTTCAAAAGTTCACTTAAATACAAATCAATCAATCAATCAATCAATTTTGTACCATCATAGTTTTGTACATCGAAGTTTTAATCTGTAAAGTAACTTATAAAAATAGCTGTCAAAGACAGGTAGTTGAGCAAAGACCTCCCTCTGAAATGTGGCAGAGTAAAAGTATAAATAATAAAGTATCTTCAAATTGTGCTGAAGTAAGTACTTGAATAAATCTACTTAGTTCTTTCCAACTGCTGTTAACAGATCACAGAGGATCATTTAGAGAAAGCAGTGAAGCTGCAGCTCAGATGACTGACAAAGAGAGATCGATTTAGGAAACTTCTGATTGAAAATTGATATATACATTTTTTACATATACTGTATATATACAAGTTTCTGAAGTGATTCTAGATCTCCGTTCCTGTGGTGGCTCTGAGAAACAGGTAAATTATTACACAGTGTCAATGATTTATCAGTTCATCAAAAACACTCATTTAGCTGTACAGGAAGACACTGTTACTGAAATTAATGCAACGGTTTATTTTAACGTCTCTGGGGATTTTTTTTTCTTTCTGCTGCCACAATGAGGTCAGAGGTCAGAGACTCAGAGATCCTTTTATTAATGGAGATCTCTTGCTCTGTTTCATTTAAATGATCTTTTATACATTTATTTATCGTACTGTTTTATTACTATTTTTTATCCTCTTGTGATAATCTGAGAAATGTCTTTGTAATGTTTATGTGTTCCTGACTTGCTGCCATTCAGAGGACAACATGATCACAATGGAAATGAGTTGCTGTTTCACAACTTTGTGTTTCCCCCAACACAGAGTCTGTGTTCAGACAGACATTAATGTGTGATGTGTACGTTTCCACTGTGAATATACTGTACATAATGGTGAGTCCAGTCCTCGTATAGTTAACGTTAATATTTTCATCCAGAGTTCAGCACATTTCACATTTGTTTTGTTCCCAGTGAGCATGGAAAAAAATCAAAACTAAGTCATATCAGTTTGTTTGGACATGCTGTACAATTAAAGTTTTATTATTGACATCATGAACGTCGTGCTAAGAGACGGACCAGTGTGACGGTGTGAGGAGGACGCGTCGTTCTGAATCTGGTTCTCTTTGTGTTTGTGTGACGTGAAGCTCAGGTACCAGAGACACTGGGACGTTTAAATGTGAAGTGTGAGTGGCTGTTTGTCCTGGAATGATAATATGTTCAGAATTAATTCTCCCTGTGCATTCTGGGATACCTTCGCCCCTCTGAGTCTAAAAAGGAAAAAATAGGTTTAAACATATCCTTGCATGTGTAGCCATATGAACTTCATTCTACTGAAAGTCATAGAGAATTTTGAACATTAAAAAAAGATGAAATCAACCTGACAAGTCATTAATTAAACTGATCATGCCATCATATTGTGTGTCAGACGCCTGTAGGTCAGACATTTCCTGAGGAAAAGCCATGTGATGAAATATGCCTTAAATACAGAACAGTAACACTCATTCTCTTGACAAGGACCTCTTTTATTTTGAAATTTTGCTGCAGTTAGCCTGAACTCAAAAACTAAAATAGAACATTTAAATCAAACATGTCTTTGATTAAAATGTACAGAATGTGAAATACTTCTCATTTGTTCCATCAGAAGTGGAGCGGAGATGTTTTGAACAGTGACTGTGTGGTGGATTGAGACAGTTGATAATCAAATAAACCACAAGTGTCTGCGCCTCCATGTGGGTTTCTAACTCAGTGCAGAAGTGGGTGCATGTATAGATGAGTGCAACATCCTTTAATTGTTCAGTTTCACTCCTTTCATGCTATGTAACATAAAGCCATTCCATACTGAAGCTCATATCACTTCATCCCATGTGATCTGAGCCATGTGCTCTTCAGAAGAAGCTGAAGTCATTTCACGAGAGCTGCAATCTAAAAACAAAACTGAGAACTGGGCTCGCTGCTCGCTGCAAGACGTCCACGACCACAGGCGTTGTCAGGAAGACTGTCAGCTCCGCCCATGCACCAAGTGTTGTAGAAGCATCCGAGCGAAGTGACGTGAAGCGAAGCAAAGCACGCCCTTCATTTTCACACACGGGGACACACAGAGCCCATCTGCCACAGCCTCATTGGTGCTTGCAGCTACACTATTGCTTTTGACCTTATTTGGATATGTCAGGGCTTTAAGCTGGAGGGAAAGTATTAGATCAGAAACTGAGGTGTCGACTCCAGCTTTACTCTTTGTCTCGGCTGTTTGGTGACCTCTGGTAAAAAAAAAAAAGCAAAAAAAAAAAAGCAAAAAGCAAGTGGAGGTTTCTTCAACTCAGTCTTGACATGTCTAAATGTCTCTGTCTGACAGGGGCAAAGTGGAGATAGAGAAGTAAGTTTTTTTTTTTACAAAGCAGATGGACATTACCCACACAGGCCACACAAACTGATGTGTGTGTGTGTGAGTGTTTCATAAGGCTGACAAAACTTCCTCTCTTCTGCAGACCAGAGAGCAGCTACAGAACCGAGAGCAGCTCGTCATATTCAAGGATTTCATTTCCTTTTACAGGGGAGGGCATCTCCTATATGTACAGACGTGTGTGTTACATGTGGCGCTCTGCACTGACGTGAAAAACTTCTCTGATCCTTTATTTAACTGCCAGTACGACAATGTAAAAATACTCCATTAATTAAAAGTGCTGCATTCAAAAACTCCTCAATTTCAGTTTATTTTATACTTATACTTATACTTGTGTCAGTTAATGTAAATAAAACATTACACATTTCTTGTTTTTAGACACAAACTTTTTGACCTCATAACTTATACAACACTTCCTCACGCCAACCCAGAACACAGTGCAGACATAAAACT